GGCTCATAGGGACCCCATATAGATTTCTTAAACCAACAATCTTGAGGTTAGCAGTCCAGTGCTTACCCTACAGCACCACACCAGGACTCTGGTCCTATTTCTAGGTAAAATGAAACAAGTACGCCTTAGAAGAGGGGACTACAAAAAGTTCATGGGAAAAATTCCATTATTCCACTAACTTTTTGAAGCCCCCTCCTTAGTCACTGTCACAAAATCAATGTGCTAAGTTCTGGACAATAAAGTCAGTGGTGGTCTAGTATAAAAGCATTTAATTAGGATCAAAATTTCAGTTTGCTTAAATTTATTCTAAAGAAGTTCTGATAAATTGGTTCTTTGTCAACAAGGATTACTTGTTTCCCTCGATACAGAATAAACTACCAATATAATTATATTATTGGTTAACTGCAATAGTCAAATGCTTTATTTTTAAAACAGTATCACAAAAGAATAACCAAGATCAACTCAAAGCTACTTCTTAAACTGCATTCATGCACTGCAAAGCATTATGACTGGCCCAGAGAAGGTATGATATTTAATGGGGATGCAAAATTTTGCAAACAATAAATCTCAATAGATTTAAAAATACTCTGAATGCAGTAATGTCATCAAGTGTCTGTTAAACTGAGGACATAACAGATTCACATGCCTACTACCTCCCATTTCACCCACACTGAAAACTTCACGACTGCTCCTCTAGCCCCCTTCCCAAATCTCTAGTGGGAGGATAGTAAGTGGACCCAGAAAAGCTCTCTCTGACTGCCAATCAAGGTGAGAGCTCAACCCCCATGTGTTTATAGCCTCTTCCTGGGGAGATTTTATCATTGATAATGGGATAAAAAGTTTTAGCACTACAATGATGAAAACAGCAGAGGAATGAGACCAAATGACAAAATATTTCAAAAAGTTTTAAAAGATGTAAAACAGATCTAGAAATGGAAAATGAATTTGCAATGGTAACGAGAGCTCAACTTCAATGTCTGCAGAGAAAGACTAAACCTAGAAGCGAGACACCGGAGACTATGGCTCTTAGCCATGCTTCAGGCCTGGAAGTTAACTCACCCTGGTTGCTCCATTTTTAGTGTTGTTGTTGGTCCAAATCATAGCCACCCTGTATAGGGTTTCAGAGAATGCAAACCTTTACAGGAGCAGAAAGCCTTATCTTTCTCCCATGGAGCTGCTGATGGTGTTTAACCACTGACCTGTGGTTACTAGTCCAAAACGCAAATCACTATACCACCAGAGCTCCTTAGGCAGGTCTATAAAGGGGAACAATCATACTAGGGAGGCATACATTCCTTAGAAAAAGCAACCATTTTAGATTCAAAAGGGCAGCATTTACTCAAGGACGAAATTCAAAGGAAAGGAGGAATGAAAACACAGGAAACATAGGGAGGAAGAGGAGCAGGCCTGAACATAGCAGAAATGGCTTAAAGTATACATGTAGTTGGTCTCTTACGTTCCCCTCCATCATTATCACACGTAATCAGACCTTCCATGTCACAGCTGTATCAACATGAGCAGATTCTTAACTTCCCTGAGTATCCATTTATAATGAGAGCATAATAAAATACCTATTTCATAGGATTATGTCAGTTAAACTACATGAAGTAAACAGAGAAGAACCTAGTATATAGTAAGGATGTAATCACCTAAGTTATTTTAAACTTTTGAAGTTGTTTGCTTTCTAATTAACAATTGTGTATGTATTACTTTAAGAATCATTAATTAAATCACCTTCTGGGGGAAAGGAAGACACATAAATGACAGAAAGATAATAGCATTTTCATTCTCTGAACAGAGAGCTCCATGAATAAAAAAAATCCGGTTACCTGTTTTGCTTAGTCTTAAAACAAGACAGTTAATCATGAGTGCCATATCTGAAGTAGTTACTCTAGTGCTGGATGTGGGAGAGATGCCACTGAGAAGTTCCCTATCATTCTGTAAGTTAAGTGGCTATAAATTGCTTGTTTATAAACAAATTTAGTAATGAAAAAGGACTTTATTACTATGATGATTAGAAATATTTCAGAAGAACAGACTAAAATGAGAACTAAATCTCAGTAATTCATAAATACCATATAAGAAATGTTATCTGAAAAAAAGATGTTAACAGGAAATTATATACAACTACCTGAAAAGCATTTATTGCAATGACAAAACTAGAGGTTAATTGCTTTTTATTATTGAATTATATTGTAAAGGCTTAGCTACTATGTCGACATTTTAAATCAGGAAGAAATGCTTTTTCATTTACATCAAGGAAACATTTACTCTAGTGGTAAAAACAGACACAGACAAAAGACCAAGTACATGTTTTAAAAAAAAAAAAAAAGAAAAAGACTACATGTTTTACCTGGTCCTACTTTTGCTAATTTGGACCATAGTTTTACTATTAGAAAATTGATCTTACATACATGTTAAGTCTGATTTATCTTACCACATTTTTAAAACATTAAATGCAGTTTCTCACAACTTCTAAGTTATACACAAAAGAATAAAAACAAAATGAGAAACGAAGTTTAAAAACAAAGTAATAAGCACAGACTTGCTATTGTTACCCTATAGAGGAAAGGTTGAGTAAAACATGTCCCCTCTGTGGCTCATCTCAAAGAAACACTTTTACTCAGAGAGGCAAGCATTTCTGACCAGAGAGGAAATTTTCAACTCCCCCTGCTGGGCCAGAGCTATAAGTGTTTCTGGTTTCAATTGAAAGGTGAAATGTCTGTAAAATATCTACAAGCTAAATATCAGCACAGGGCTAATTCAAATAAAGATTGGGTACCAGTCTAAATATACATTTTCAGGTTTTTCCTTTTTAAAAAGTATCACTATTATTCCAGATGATATTTAAAAATAACTTAGATTTCTTAGTGTGCTTTATGGTCAGTGAGTGTAAATCTGAAACTCAAATGACAACGTTTAAAATTTTTGTTTCACTTGATTCTACTGAAATTTCAATTACCTACTATTTTACTTATCCAAGCTAAACATGAGGTAAGTTTCAGCTAAAAAAATAAATCAACCACAAAAATAAAAGTAACCATTTCAAGAGTACACAAAATCATAATGCCCTCCTCAGAGTTTGTGACTTTATGCGGTAACTATTGTGTATTCAAGAACAATTTACTATGTAACTTAAAAGCAAATACTTTAAAATCAAACTACATTGGGAGATATAGGGCAAAAACTTGGCAAAATTGGTTTTTGGTAACAGAAGATAAAGCAATAATAATAAACCCAAATGGAACATAAGACCAGCGTTTAAAGTAACTTCTAAACAAACACACACACATTTATCTAAAAATATTTTGGTAGCAAATTAGATGAACAGATTAAGTGTTTTGCTGTAAATGAAGAGTAGACATTTCCAATCATGGCCTTATAGCTAGCGGAACAGTTTTTATAAAACATGTATAGCTAACTAATAGTTTTCCAAAACTTGTATGTTGCACTAAAAGATCCCTGCTAAAAATCAACTATATTGAAATGAGTTTTTAGGACTTTCATGATACTAGAAATCTTTTAAAAAGTACAATAGGGCTTCAATACCATTACTATTAATAAGAGTTACAGAAGAGATTATTGCTGTACTTTCCCCCATCAACACCATCACACTTTGTTGCAGATACAAAAACATGCAACCCAAGTTACTTTCCTCTTACTGAATTTCACTGTTTCACATGTATCTGAAGTTTTTATTCAGCAGAGAATGAATGTTAAAATCTTTTCTGTAAGAATTCAAAGCATTTAAATGTGTAGCTTCACATTATACCACATTTTGCCCTTCTTATTTCCCAAAAACAAAGACAATATACATTTTTCTCAAAAAACGAAATAAGATGTCCACATTAAAAAAATAAAGCCTACAAAAAAGTTCCAGAGCTAAAAAAGATTATTTGTATGGCACAAAATGATCTCCTACTAGTCCAAAGTCCAAAACATTTCAATGAAGTCCATTTATATATCTTGTTTGCTTTTCAATGGAACACTACATTTATCAAGGTGAAATCAACATTATTTTTAGTTCTTGAGTTGAGTGTACACAAATATCATTTATATAGTTATTAAAAATAGGAGACCAAGTTGAGTTTGCCAAAGAGATATCATTCACTTGGATTTCGTGGAGTTAAGGAGGAAACCAGAGAAGGGGTTTCCTTGATTGGTTTCCATAGCTTGATAGACCAGAAACAAAAAAACTGCCACAACAACAAACAGCAAAATTTTTATCCACACGGGAATGTAGCGTCCCTTTTTTGTCTTTTCTGACTTGACATCTGCCAAGGGAACATACTTAGGGACATATTTAGATGAAAAAGATTCCTCCATCCTGAAATCACTGAGTTCTAACGGCCGGCCTGCAGCCCCTTTGATTGGTCTGCGGCAACTAGCACTGTCAGGAATGAAAGGAGGAAGAGAAAAAGATAGTTTAGATGAAATCATGATTTCAATGAAAAACATGTCATTACTATACCCAATTCCAAGGATATTCCTTTAGGCAGCAGTAGAAAATTATCTCATATATGAGGGGGCTTTAAAAAGTTTGTGGGGGAAAAAAATCCACTGTCCATTTTCATTTTCCACAATTTTTTTTAAGCCCTCTCATAAAGTAGTTAGGGTCAATCATACTATACACTTTTCATTTTAAAAATACATTTCATGAAAAAATAATTTTCATTCCTTTATAAAAAAAAAAATTCATTTAAATGCATATATTAATAAACTCATCGAACCTGTCTCCTTTTAAAAGTCTTTTCAATCAAAGCCAATACATTTAGTGGTTAAGGTAAAAATTTTTTGTTCTAATTTACTAGGTTTCCCACCCCTTTGATTTAACAATTTCATTTTAAACAGACTCAATTTTCAAGAATAGGAACTGCTGACTTGAATTAAAATTGCAAAAAGAGAACAATTCAGAGAGCAGATATAAGTCTGAAAAAAATAAATTACAAATTCCCTAGTACAATATACTAATATTATTTCAATATCTAAATACCTAATTCCTGTTGGTGTAGATGCTTCAAAGGGAAACATTTCCTTAAGAATATCCCTTTCTATTCTTCTTTCCTCCATTTTTTCTCCCATCTAATAAGGAAGAAATAAAGAAATCACAAGTTAAAATTTAGTGTATAGGCAAAATCCACAATTTTAAACAGAAATCTTTGAGAACTGCAATGAATGTAATATGAGTTTTTAAAACTGCTATTTCAAAATTAATTCTTATCCAGGTATCCACATGTTTTCCCAGGCTATCTTATTTTTTTGACTATGAAGGTACCTTAATGTGGTTATGGGAGGAGGGGGAAATCACTACACATTCAGATAAGTTAAAAAAGTAATCAAACAAAACAAAAAATTTCAGTATACTTAATATGACAGTGTATGGTTTCCTATGTTTTTCATTGATAAAACATTGCAAGTATATATTTTTTCCTATTATGAATTCTATAATAAAATTGTCAAATGCATAGATATTTGTGAGGGGGGTCTCAAAAAGTCTGTGGAAAATAAAAACAAAAAGAATGGTTTTCCCACAAAATTTTGAAGTACCCTTGTACTTAACAAGGTCTTTGAACAAATTTTAGTGTCAATGTATTTTTTTAAAAAACTAGTCAGTCCAATCTTTCCAACTCAGGAAACAGAAAATACATTTTCATTTTAAACAACCTGATTGTTTTGTTGTGTTTATCTTTATGCCCAGATCAAAATAATAAATACTTCATCCTCCTTAGTAAAGTCATAAAACGAAAAGTGATCATGCAGTTAGTACTTTAATCTATGAAGTTACATTAAACTTCTAAGCAATAAATTCAAGCACCATACAGTCGCTTTAAAGCTATCTGACCTTTTAAGAGTAAGTTTAGCCTTCCTACAAGACATTCAACTTAAACCCATGACAAACAGAATGTATTATAAGCAGACCACTCCCTTGAAAAATGCAAGTTATGAGGCACATAACAGCAAAAGGATAGTATTAGCATGTCATACTGTATTAGTTAATACCCATTTTCAGTAATAAAAATGTCTTTAAAATCATACATACATATACATACACATATATATATACCACCCAATAAAGTAGGTTCTGCTCCCTCCCATTCCAGAGAATATAAATAGTTTCTCTTTAAAAGATTAATGATAGCCTCAATCTAAATTTTATTCATTTACTTCAGCTCTTGTCAAGGGTTTCTTTGGTGTTCTTCTGGGTATGTCTGAGAATTCAGTGTTTGGCAGAATGGGAGCTGCATGCTTGAAATTTCCAGTCACCCTATTGACAACCTGCCAAGATTCAAATTATTCAGACTCAGAATTATCCAAACATAACAAAGACATTAAAAAATAAAAATAAATTAAAGATATTTGGTATCTGTAATATTTGAAAATTTTCCTTAATAAAGTGCTTCACATGTGCAGTCCTATCACTCTTTAAGTATCCGAGCAAAAAGTATCCTTATAGTACTTAGAATTCTTAACAATAAATTAAATTTATATAATTTGCTATGTTGAAAATTCGACAGTTCAGAACAAAATGGGAAAATTTTAAATGCAGTATTTAAGAATATGTAAATGTGAAACTGTCAAAAATCACCACCTCCCCATTCTAATTAAAGGGTAATTTACAAAGAATACCACTTGCATAGTTTATTAAACATATTTACTAAGGTTTCGTTGCTTGAAGCCATTATAGTTTCAGCTATGGGAGTACTTTCTGAAATTACTGCACCATCTATACGAAAATGTTCTGAAGTTTCCACCTGTTAGTTTGAAAACAAAACAAAAACAATAAATATAAAATAATCACTAAAGCCCTACCAATCTGAAACCCAATTCTAAGCAATTAAGCCTTGCATCACCCTTTTCCTTGGAGTTCTTCTCGACCCTCTTGTAGATTCCCTAGTTAATGCCTGAAGAGGTCCGCTTTTTGAAGATCCACTTGTCCATTCAGTCTCAGTTATTCCAGCTTGAGAATAGCTCTATTCAAGTATTGACACATTAAAAAGCCATATACATCAAACACTTTAATAATGGCCATGGTAACACACTAAGAAGCCAAAATGAATCATCAAATGCCAGCATTTACAAAAACTGTCATGCCCTCAAAATACTTCTAAAAATATTCATTGAACTAACATAGAGAAATCAGAAAATTGATAAAAGATACTATAATGCCTAGCTCTAGTACCTCACAAATTACAATAAAAGGGAGAGGGAAAGTACATCAATTATCACTGGGCCCCCTTTTGTAACTCACTGCTATTTGACTCTAGTATAGCAGCTGCATCTCTTTGGATGTCTTAAAAAGCACACTCATCATGGCTTAGAAGAGAAACTCATTTGTTATAATAAATTCCATTTTGAATAAAAAAGACAAACTATTAGGACCATTAGCATAGATTATACATTATTCTTTTCATGTGGACAGAATTATCTAAATAGAAATCTGTCAAATTATAATCCATACCCAATTATCTGAGCTCTAAATTCTCATGTGTCAACCAACCCTTCTTGGAAGCATAAAATGTCAAAACCGGGCACCAACACAAACCTGGTAGTCACTCATAATCATGCAAGCCTGAAATGTCAGTGCCAAACCATAATGCTACTCACTTCTACTAAGACTCCTTTCTCCCTGAAAAGCCAATTGTTTCCTCACTTAAATAATCAAACAATCCTTACACACTACTTTTTAAATCATTACATTAGTGCTTCTCAAACAGTAGTATATGTATGAAATGCATAAGTGCTTTAATTAAAACACAGATTGATTCAGCAGATCTAGCAGGGGGCCAGGGATTCTGCATTCCAACTAGAAAGCCAATCTTACAATTCTTTCAAACGTTTTTAACTATAGAGTATCCATCAATGATTAGTATTCCCAGTGGGGTGGGGTTATGTTGTCACTTTGCTTTCAAGCAGATATTCAGATAACTGATGTTTTTCTTTTCAAGTAGATGTCCATTAATTAAAAAGTCATAATTCATCCCTCTCATGTGGTGCTGTGGGATAATGCACTGAACTCCAAGGTCGGTTTTAACTGCGGGGTCGGTGGTTCAAATTCACCAGCCGCTCCTTGGAAACCCTGTACAGGGTTGCTATGAGTCAGAACCGACTCGATAACACTTAACAAACAATAAAAGCAACTAGCAGTAGAGCCCTGGTGTGGTGCTATAGGAACACTGGAAGGTTAAATGCAAGGTTGGCAGTTCAAACCCACCAACTACTCTTTGAAATCCTATATAAAGTTGTTACATGTATGAACCAACTTGACAGCACACAATAGTAACAAAATCTAGCAATGAGCGATCATCCAATACATTTATTTGGCTAAGGGAATTAACCAGTGGTTACGAGTTAGAGGAGGAGAATATTGAAAGTGGCATGGGCTGCCAATAAACCCAACAGATCTGTGTTGGAAGAAATGCAGCCAGAGCGCTCCTTGGAGGCCATGATGGACAAACTTTGTCTCTCATACTTCAGACATATTGTCAGGAGGGACCAGTTGCTGGAGAAGGATATCATGTTTTATAAGGTGGAGGGTCAGAGATAAAGACATCAATGGGCTCAAGGGTGGCAACAATTGTGAGGTTGGCCCAGGATCAGGCAGTGTTTCGTTCTGCTGTGCATAAGGTCGCTATGGGTCAGTACCGACTCAATGGCACCTAACAACACCAAACGAGTTGGAATGCTAACCTAAAGGTCAGCAGTTTGAAACTACCAGCTGTTCCATAGGAGAAAGGTGAGGCTTTCTGCTCCCATAAAGATTTACAGCCTCGGAAACAAAATACAGGGTCGCTATGAGTTGGAACCGACTCCACAGCACAGCACTACCACCACCACAAAAGGCAGAAACTACCAAAGTACCAAAACGTAGACATCCTATGTGTATCTGATTTTATACTTGCCCATATTTAGAATTGACATTAAGAGTTTTCCTTTGACTCAATCTGAATCTGTGTTCTCCTTACTCTGTATCAATTAGCAAGTATTTGCTGAATGTAAAACTTAGTGTTTGTTAATCAAAAGATAAATTTGAAAACATACACACACATAGTAAGTGCTTACTTCCAGTCAAGATTCAATTACGTGAATAGAAGGGAACAAAAGCTTTTCTCTGAAGTTCTCAATCCTGGCTGCACAGTCTCAAGTCTGAGGAGATTTCAAAACACATCAATATTCCCAGAACACCTGAATCATAATCTTTTCTTAAATGTCCCAGGCATAGTTAATTTTTATATATGTTTTGAGGGGTTCCACAAATGGTCAGCAACAATTGAGAAAATTAGTTTAAGATGATGTAACTGACAATGGACTTTGATCCATCTTAATGCCAAGAATTTTTAAACTACTTAGCACTGCTCCTCCAATAATCAATAGCAGTGTTTGAAACATGTCTGATTTGAAAGTCTACTTGGTATTATCAATGAATATTTAACAATTTTAAACCTCAAAGAATTAAAAAATTACATTACTTGAAAGGGCTAAAAAAATGACTAGATCTACAATTGATACTATATAAAGTCCAGGTATCTTATTACCTATATATATCTATAGGGTCTTGGGTAGTGGGGGAGAAGAGAGAAAGGCAGCTTTTAGTCCCTAAAATTGGTTACTGAAAAATTTACAGGGTTTTCCATGTTATGTTTTGAACAAATGAAAAATTTCATCAAAAATAGTATAATTTTATCAAATACCCATTGAAATTTCTTTAGCACATACACACACAGCAACATATTTGCATTTCTTGTATATTTTAAAGATTCTTAATTTTCTTCTATGGAAGAAAACATAAGAAACATGCTGGCTGACTCGGGGGATGAACGGGAACAAAGGTGGAAGACTTTTTACTAGAAATCATTTCTTTGTTCAGAATTATGAAATCCTTTGAGGAAAAAATTAGTTTTATTAATTCCTATTTATCACTAATTTAGAATTGGTTATTTTCACTTACTGTAACATTAAGCTTTATATTCAAGAGACCAATAAACTAATTTGACATACGATACTCTGAAGACTCAAATTTTTTACCAGAATCTATAATTAACAAGTGACTTTGAGAAGAAAAAATAAAATTTGATATTAAAAAAAAAATCAAATAAAATTATCCAATACTATAATTAGCAACGTAGACCAAATAATTATTGGTTGAAAAGACATCTATTTCCACCAAATGTTCTCTAGCAAATCCAGAATTTATCTAAGAAATAACAAGAAAAACAAAACCCATTTCACACTGTCTTTTGATAAACAATCAGGTAAAGATTATTCAGAAAACAGACAGTGAGGTACACAGAATGCAGGAGCTATTAAAAAAAGGTTCTGTATGCCAATCAGGAAAATTACAAACTTTAAGTAACAAACACCATATGAAAATAAGTTGTAAATCTCAAGAGGCTATGGCCCTCAATCATGCCTTCAGCTCTGGAAATAAATTCACCACCCTGACTAAATTTTCTGTCAGATCGTTCAATAAGGTAAGCAGTATCACTGAGGAGGTACACACACCTTAGAATAATCAACCATTTGAGATAAAAAAGGCAGCATTTACCCAAGGACAAAGGAGCTCTGGTAGTGTAGTAGTTACAAATCGGGCTGCTAACTTCATGGTCAGCAGTTCAAAACTACCAGCTGTTCTGAGGGAGAAAGATGAGGCTTTCTGCTCCCATAAAGATGCACATCCTCAGAAACTTTATGCAGGGTAGCTAATGAGTCAGAACCGACTCCATGGCACATAACCACCACCACCACCCAAGGACAAAGATCAAAAGAGTTGGGAAAGAAGGAGGAAAGGAAACAGGAAATGCAGGGAGGAAGCAGGATAAGTGATGTTATATTGTGGGGATTGAAATCAATAAGATGAATCATAGTACTATCTTATTCAGCTGACATAATACTAAATACATATTTAATAATAATAAAAAATATGTAAAAGAAAATGACAATTTTTAATATTAGGGAACAAAACTACCTGTTCACTAATCTTGGAGGCCTTGTCACACACAAAAAATGATGTCAAGCACAATATTTTGGTTATACTAAGGAAAAGACAAACTCGCAAAACAAAACCAAAAAACCCACCACCATCCAGATTGCATTTAGCAGCCCTATTACTAATAGTAATATTATACTGTTTTGAAACTTTTCTATGTGTAATTAATGTCTATTTTAAACTCAAGTATTCATCGTAAGCAATACAAACTTAACACAATTAAGATAGTCTACAATCATAAATGTGAAATATTATCAATGAACTCACGATTTTTCTTTCTAAAAAACAAGTACTTTCTAGCTCTACCACTAAAAAGGCCTAGAAGTAAGGAGAAACCACCAGAACCACCACGTTAAGTACCCAGACTCCAGTCTTCAAATAACATTTCCAATAAATGGAACAGGGTTTCTTGGGAAAACTTCTAACTTTAGATGGCTGTTGTTTAGTGCCAACTGAAGAGGTTTCAACTCACAGTGACCCTGTCTATGGTTTCCGAGGAGCAACTGGTGGGTTTCAACTGCTGACCTTGTGGTTAGCAATCCAGTATCCTATAACACCACATCAAGAGCCCATGGGAGGTAAGATAAATATGAGATTTCGGCATCTTACCATATCAGAAAACCAGAGCATATCAAAAAGAACCAGATGCCATCACGCTGATTCCAGCTGAGACACCCCTCTGCCCACAAAGTGTCAGAGTGGCACCATGCTCTACAGGGTTTTTTTTCCTTAATGTTTTATTGTGAATTATGTGATAGTTTACATGGGAGAACATTAGCTTTACATTCATCCTATCGTATATCATTTCATTGCCATGGTTACAATCCCCTCCATGCATCATCAACCAACCAAAGGGTATACACTATAAGCCTGCCCCCCGGTCGTCAGCACACAGCCCCTCTCCCTCTCTGGGTCTAAAGTCCCCAACTGCTCCATCTCTCCACGTTCAGTGTCTGCCGCCTCCTCAGTCATCACTGCTTCTCTGGG